CTTCCTATTTCAAATAATACCGATAAAAGTAGAGAGGAAATTTTTTGATGATTTGAATAGAATTATGGCAAGGGAAAAAAGCCAGAATAAAATTTAAAATGTTGCAGGAAGATAAAAACAATGGGGTTGGAGGTTGGATTCCCAGACTGGGAACTCTGTTATCAGGCATCAGCTTTGACATGGATAAAAGATTGGGTAAATTTGAAATATAGAAGATTATTATTGCTTGAGGGATATGATCTGCAACTAGGTTGGCATGCTTTACTATGGTATGGCAAGAGTACAGTACATAGATATTTTCAAGGGCACTATGTAAGAAACGCATTGCTCAATGTATGGGAAAAAATCAAATTAAAACATTAAATGAAAATTCCAGTCTGGCTCTCCATCATGGAAGCATTCATCTATCCAAATCTTATCAACTTTGAAAAAATTGTATCCTATAAAGTTATTTTAAGTAAAGATGGTGAATTAAAAACTAGACAACAGTTACAAGTCAGGGGCTGGATTTAGACTGGTGGCCATATCTTCAAATACAAAGAAGATATGAGAAGGATGATAATAAATGGGATCTAAATAATGAATCAACAACACTAGATAAGATACTAATGGGGGACAGATGAAAAATTGATAAAAAGCATATAATTATTTATTGATGTATAAAATGGAGGAGGAGCAAGTCAAGGAAACTATGATTGTTTGGGCAATTTTTTTTGGTTATAATATAGAATTGGAAAAGTTGCAAAAACTATGGGATAAGAACTATAAATTGATGATGGCATCGGAATATAAAGAAAATGTATATAAAATGTTTTATAGATGGCACCTACCACCGGCAAGATTGGCAAAAATGTTCAGTAATTTGTCTGCAAAATGTTGGAAATTAATCATAATCCTGGGACATATTATCACATGTGTGGACCTGTACCAAAGCCAAATAATATTGGGAGGAAATAGAGAGTTGGCTAGAAAAAAATAATCAAACAGAAGATAGATTGGAAACCAGAAATATATTTGTTAGGCATAATCCCAGAGGGTTATGAAAAAGGAACTGCATATCTAGTTTCACAGATACTAACAGCAGCAAGGATTAGCTATGCAAATTTTTGGAAAAATGGAAATATTCCATCAAATGAGAAGGTAACCAGAAAGATCCTAGAATGTGCTGAAATGGATAGTTTAACTTTAAAAAGAAAAGAAAAAGAAGACTCAAAGTACTATTTGATATGGAATAGATTTTATGAGTGGCTTAAACAAGGGGCAGAAGTTAAAGAAAGAAAAATGATGAACAGTCTTATTAAAAACAGGGAAGATATAGAACTATAATTGCTATAAATATTAAAAATATGAATGAGTTAAATACATAGAATGGGAACTGTATTGTATGGAAAATGTATTATTACTAGAGTTGTTAATTTAGATATAATTTATTATATTATTAGTATTTTTATTAGTACATGGATAATATTTTTACATATTAGTTATGTTTCTCTTTTTTTGTAAATAACATATCTGGACAAAATGCTGTATTCAAAATTTGTTTATGAATAAAAGTAAAAATAACAATAAAAATTATCTACATACATACATACATACATACATACATACATACATACATACATGTGTGTGTGTGTGTGTGTGTGTAAGCAAATTTAACTAACATGAAAATTATAGACAGATCTTATAAGATCTACACTGCAAATCTAAATTACTATGCCCATAATGTCAACTATCTCTTGCATGACAGTCAATTTAGTATAGTGCAGGGGTGTCAAACTCAAGCCCAGGGGCTGGATCTGCCCATGGGATGCTTAGATCTAGCTTGCGGGGCTGCCCTAGAAGCAGTGAAGGATTGGCCCACAGTGTGTTCTGCCAGTGAAAACGGAGCTTGGGATGGCTGTGGCCTTCCTGAACTCCGTTTTCACTGGCAGGGGGTTGCAGGAGGACGTCACAGCCAAAAATGGAGCTCGAGAGCCCGTTTTCAGGCCACAACAGGCACCCCTGACATAAGTGTTATTGAGCTGGCCACGCCCACACTGACCCCCCAGAAGCAAACACAACCCAGATGCAGCCCTCAATGAAATCAAGTCTGACACCCTTGGTACAGTGGCTAAAGGCATTTGTCAAGAAACCAGAAGTTTCTGAGGCTAGTTCTGCAATTGGCACAGTCAGCTGGATGACTTTGGACCAATCCCTTTCTCTCAGTCTAAAAGAAAGCAGTAAGGGTAATTATTAAATGCTGCCAAGAAAACTGCAGGATTTGTCTATAGAGTCACCAGGACTCAAGAATGAGTTGAAGGTATAATAGTTATAGTACCCATTCCCTATATAATTTGTTATTTACAAAGCTGACTATTTTATTTAGTGCCTTATTGTCCTTACTTAGAAAAGTGCTAGTTTAATTCACATTATTTTCTTTTCCCTTGTCCTCCTTTCTTTAAAAAGAAAGCTGATTGTTTCTTGCCTGTTCTCTAAACTTGGAATCCTCTTCAGTCCTATTGTCTTAAAAAAACCCAAAAACTTCTGTTAGCTGCTTCTTTCTCCAGGCAGATTTGCCCAATCTATCATCCAACATTCCACTGTTGTCTCTGGCAAACTTATTTTGTTGGGTTTTGTAATGCTCAACTATTAGAAAAGCCTATGTGACCAGAAGTGACAGTATGTCAACAAAAAAGTGTGTACACCAAAGGAAAAGCTTCTCAGATGAGCATTTCCAGCTTCTGAAATCCTGTGCACTACAAACATTTATGAAAACAAATGAATTATTCCAAGGGTGGGCTGCTACCGGTTTGCACCATTTCAAGTGAACTGGTTGTTAATTTTATGGTCAGTTTGGCAGACCGGCAAATCCCATCCCTGGCTGGCCCTGCCCATCCCACCCCTCCCCTCCCAGGAGTCCCTGCGTGGCCTGTTTTGGATTGCAGGTAAGTGCAAGGGCCGGGAGGGCAAAAAATGCAGGGAGGGGAAAAATAGGCCTCCTGGAAGTTCCGGAAGGCTGTAAACGGGCCTGTTTCCGGCCTCCAGAGAGCCTTCAAGAGCCCGGGGAGGCTGTTTTCCTCCTCCTGGAGGCTCGAAGAAAGGCATACATAAGGGCACTAAAAATATCTCTGCCCTTCTGAATAACATTATAGAATGGTCCTGTTGATAAAACATGATGCATTAAAAACATATTTAGTTCCCATGACAAGCATATTACTGTTTGTATATTCCTGAGTTATCCAGCATATGCAATGAATTTATGTCAAAATGTAGGCCTGAGAAGGGTTCACTAATTTTTAAAACATCCTTATCAAGAAAAAAATAGTGTAACTTGCTATTGGAAATTTAGATGCACATAATATCATGATGTGTAGGGTGAGTGAGGTAATTGGTGAATGAGGCTTTGGCCTGGAAAGGAGGAACAAAATTGCAAGTGGACTGTGGGGAGTTGGAAGGGCAGGCAGCAATATTAACATTTCTGTGCTGTGATGCTTGCTCTCTGGAGTGAGATCCTTCCTGAAATTTGTGTGGCTCCCACCCTGTCGACATTCAGAAAGCCTTGAAGATTTGGCTGTTTTCTTGGCCTGGGTTAGGATTAATGGAAACACTTCTTGGATGTATTTTTTGTGTTTTATTTTGAGCAGCAGGATCCAAGTTATGCATTCTACATTGTGCTTCTATTTTTGTTTGCTGTCTTGTGAAATGCATGTATGTATGTATGTATGCATGTATGAAGGCCCAATTGGCAAAAGAAAGCTCAGGACCATATAGTTGGAAACCTGCGGAAGAGTCCTTCATCCTGCAGTGTATAGACAATGGCTAAAACGATGGTGTATCAGAGATCAGATCAGATTAACATGTATGTATCCAGGGGGTGGGATTCAAATTTTGTAACAACCGATTCTGTGGGTGTGGCTAGGTGGGTGTGGCCATGTGATTGGGTGGGTGCCTCCGGTGGGGTGTTTTTGCTCCCAGGAAGCTTCCCTGGGGCCCTGGAAGGCAAAAAATGGAGGGGGTGGGTTTTTTTGCTGTGCCCCCCTCCATTTTTGCCTTCTTGGGCCTCAGGGAAGCCTCCTGGGTGAAGCAGTAAGTAAGTGAGGGGAATCCCGGTACAGCTGGTCATAGGAACAGCTCATCGTAAGGAGGGAAAAAAGAAAAAGAAATACCTTAAGGAGTGACTGGGCGGGGAAGAACACAGCCAGCGATGTTGGGCATGTGTGCAATGTTGCACATGCACGATTTAGGACTGATTGGGAGGGGTGGGGCGGGTGGAGAAGGGCGGGGCCAGCCAGGGCCATGATTTTCCGGTTCTCTGAACTGCATAGAATCATAACAACCGGTTCTATAGAACCAGTCCGGACTGATAGAATCCCACCCCTGTATGTATCTATGATTAAAGTAAATGACAAAAGGCCTAGTCTGGTGTAAGGCAGATTTTTTTTTTCACTCTTCATTTTTTATAAGCTCAGTTTGCCACTGAATTTTAGCCCTCCCTGTCCTTTCATAGCCATTTGTACTGTCACAAAATATACTTATAATTGGTAGAAATTTCCCACTTGCTTCCATTGCAAATGCCTATGACTATCCATTTCTGTGTTCTCTTACAGGATTGTAAGAGAACATAATTGCTCTAGCTTGATTATTGGGGTAAGCCAATAACTAATGTACTCTCTGTTGTAGACAAGGGTTTTTGATTTTACAATTTATTCCTATTAATTCTGATACAAGCATGATTCCATAGTAATCCCTTGTTATAATAAAATGTTAATAAAAATATCATTTTTTCTGTTATATGCATTGGGACATGTATTAATAATCTCTTTTTCAGTAAGCATGAGCAAACTTTGCCCTTTCCTGGACCAGCTTTGTATTAATTGTTTGTTACCCATTGGTTTGAATATCAAATCTTAATAATTTGTTTTTGGAGTAATGAACCATGGAATTTCATGGGATTGTTTTTTTAAAAGGAAGATAGGTCCTTAAAAAATTAAAACAGAGAAAAAAGTTCTAAGTTTACTTACTTGGTTCTCTTTTAGAGTTATCTGTCCTTGTTCCTTGCATCCAATAAATGTTCTGATACATTTGAAAACTTTTTCATCTTGTAATCTTTGAACAAAATTAGCAGGAAAAAAACCAATTCGATCTTCTATTTTCCCCTGTGAATAGGATATGGTGAGAAGACAACTATTGCATAGTATTAAAGTTTGTTATTTTTCTGTCATTTCTTCAAGGTGAAATGTTCTGTTTTTCCTTCAACTACTAAGATGGCTAGCTGTGTAAAATAACTCCCGCAGAGTCTACAATTACTCACTGAGTTTCCTTAAAGTTCAAAGGAATTTGAAGTTTAAACATTCTAGCCTTGGTCAGATATTATAACCCATCTTCCCCAACATTGGCTCCCCAAATGTGGCAGACTACAATTTCCTTCATCAATTTTCAGCAGGTGGTTTGCATGCTGGTTGAGGATAGTGGAAACTATAATACTTTTGAAGAACACCTTATTGGTTCTATAATTGGTGACTATTTCTAATGTAAATAACCAGATAATTTGATGGGTTGCTTGCATTCTCCTGCTCTCTCTCTTGGATTTCAGTCTGAAACAGAAGGAAGGTTTCTTCATTTTCTCATTATGAAAAAGAGTAGCTAATCAAAGAACTATGCTGGAAAAAAATATAGTTCTACAACAATTGGGTTACAAATGAATTTGTACTAATGAATTGACCAAAAAATATAATACAATATTCACTTTTTCCATTTTAACATTGTTGAAGCTATTTTGATTGTACCTTCCACCAATCTTCATTTGAATCCTCTAGTAGTATAATTCTATCTCCGGGCCTATGATTAAAAAAATAGAAACACTGCAATTAGTTTACATGTCTCTTTTAATATACAAAAGCATCAGTACATTCTGTCATATATTCAATCATCAAATTGCATTGTAGAATAATACAAAATTATCTGTAATGTTTAGGTGATACAATGTTGATGGGATTAAAACTATTGGTTTTGATTTCAATAAAATTAGCAAAGCAAACCAATCACAACTAAATGAAATATACAGTTTATACTAGATTACCTCATTTCCAAATCTTCATGCTCCTGTGGTAGAAATTTGTACAAGGCCACATATATATTCATCTGTATTGAATCTTTATTAAGAGATCCCTTGAAAGGGGGTGGGGGGACAAAGAGAAGGAAAATAGATTACTACCAGTTTTGTAAAAATATCATATTGGAAATCATAGATACTTTTCCTTAGACATGGTGGTATTTTGAAATATATTTGGTTTGTTGAGTACCCATGACCAATGGCTACATTTTGGTCTGACTTTGATTCTTTGTTCTTAACTCACTGTAGAACATAAATGGTGAAATGTATCTGACAGGGTCTAAATTTATTTTTAAATAAAATTTAAAAAGCTGGAGAAGCAAACTCTGAGAAGCTACTAAGTATTATAAATAGTACAACAGATTTGTACAATCCCAAATCCAACAAACAAGACATATGTCAGATCCATGTATCTGCCATTCTTCAATGGAAGAAGAAGTGGAGGGAAGTTGGTACAAGTAATCCTTTTTGATGTAACCTGAATATATTAAATCCTATATTGATTCCATATAACTTGCACATGATATACATCCGGAGGAGTGGAGCCAGATGTCCAGAAGCTTGTCACCTCTGGAAGAGAAACAGAATGAGAAGGGACCATAAAAATTCCAGCCCTGGAAGAAATTCCTGGGAACTCTACAAAACACGTTCCTAGAGAAGGGGAGGGGGGAATTAACTTGTTGGTTCTTTGTTTGACTAAATCCACATCTGAATGAGGGGAGGGGTTTTAACTTCCTTTTTTATGACTGTATGCCTGGGGGTATCTTAGATTCTGCTTTGCCTAATGTTGAGATAAAACCTCTTTCAATAAAGGATTCCTTTTGAAACACCTAATGTTCAGAAGTTCATTCTTTTCAGTTGAAGGGAAAAAGTCCAATGCTCACAACATATACAAAAGAGTTATATAGGAAGATAAATGGGGAATTTGGAAAGAAATTGCTTTTGACTAAATACAGAATCTAGATTTTTTTTTTCAGGATCTTGGCTTTATACACAATTCTATTTTCTCTCAAGCTTTTTTGATCTCAGTAAGCTTATATTAAGAGAGGGAGAAAAGGCTTTTTATGGTTATTCTCATTCAACCATTGGAACTGGAACCAATCCACATCAAATATGTATTTATGTCTATTTCTGTCCATATTACTTCTCTGCATAAGTAATGATTTAAAAATGAAAATTCATATTTATTTCCAGACCTGTGTCAAATATATACTTTTTCTAAAATATGTATTTTCCTGAATACTTTCCTTAATAAATGCATTTATCAGTAAAGAAATGTATATGTACAAATCTGGGCAATAAAAAAATGGAACAATTTTTCTGCATGCTATACAGAAAGGGAAAACTAGACAGTTTACTGAAAACTATATACTGTACCCTTCCCCATCTCTACTTATGTGAATGTTTTAAACCATTCAGTTTACAAATTGATATAATTTATTTGGCTATATCTTTAATTAAATGTGGAACTATTATCTACACTATTTTATTATAAAAATCCAAATAAAGAAGTATCATCTAAGTTGTAATGAATGCTGCATTTGACATATGCCAATAGGTAAAAATAAGATCTTTGTTCTTACTGATGCAGAGTTTAATAGAAGGTATTAAAATAATGAACAGACACAGACAAACCCATCTTTACAAAAGCAGGAAGCTTCAACTTTCTCCATTGTAAGACTGCAATAAAAAGATTTTGCCACTAATTTGGCTGGTTAAAAGGTAAGCTTTAAGATAAAGTGATTGGGATATGTATTTTGGCATTGTTCTGGCCATTTCCCCCCATTCTATCCCAAATTAATGAACAAGTTTTGCAATGAAATTGTATACCTATTTGCCTGAAAGCTTTACAGAACTGGAAATTCTTAGGCAGGTTTTCTCATAACCACAATCATTCTAGCTATATTTAGCTGATTTATTATAATTTACCTTAATATAATCCTGTGATTCAGAGATCCAGGATGGAGCTATAGAAACTATATATCAGGAGTGTCAAACCTGATGTCATTGAGGGCCACATCAGGGTTGTGGTTGACCTTGGGGAGCTGGAGTAGCCATGGCATTGTGTGGGCAGCTTGACATTGCTTGTGTCGGGGGGTGCCAGTGGTGGCCCAGGCAGGTCTGGGGAATCCCTTTCTCCAGCAGAGGAAGGCAAGACCAGGGTGAGTGCCAAAACTTTGTTCTTCAGCGGCACTTCACTGTCCTTCTCAGACTACGCAGAGGACCCCCAGACAGCAGCGCAGGCTGCCCAGAGCCCTGGGCAGCAGAGGACAAGCACCCAATCTGGCCCTCAAGTTCCCAGGGCCCTACAGCCCAGTCCTGCTTCCCTGAGGGGTACCCAGCTGCGCTTACCTCCTCCTCAAGGCTGCTGTTGCTCTTCTCACTCTCCTAGGGCATATGCAGAAGGGCAAAGTGTGTGGGTCAGAGGGCAGCCCACTTCCTCTACATGTGAGGAGACCCGGCTTTGTAACCAAAGCATCCTCAGCAATAGGATGAGAGACCATGAGGAAAGGTCAGGAAGAGGGGACAAGGGAATGGCAAAAGGACAGCAGGGCTGTTGGTGGCCAAGTGCTAAGGCAGGACTTCCCTCAGAATCTGACTCCCTCTCATTATAATCTCCTCCCTCCCTCCCCTCCCCTTTTTCACTTTTCTTCTTTATGCTTCTCTCTTCATTTTCCTTTCTTCCTTCTTCCTTCCCCTCTTTCCTTCTTTTTCTTTCTTTTTTGTCCCTTCTTGGATGCTCAAATGCAAAAGAGGAAACATTTCTCAATACCTCCTTGCCTTGTGATCAAATGCCACTAGGGTGCATGGGGTGGGGTAAGGCGCATAAAAATTAAGCTAAGGTGGGGATGGGGGGGTAGAGTTGCCATACTATTTACCTTTGAACAGTTGCAGCCAGGCCTTTCACATCCTGATACTTGTCTTGCTGGCCCACTTCCTCTGTGGCTGTCTATCACTGCTTGCGTGCATCACCTCCAGCCTCCATTTTGCTGTCAGAGGTCTTCAGGAAAGGCCTCTGCAGCTGAGAAACAGGCTCCAGATTGACACGCATGGGACTGCTCACTGTCAGAGGCTTTCAGGATTGATTTGGAGCTTTGCTATCAGCTGCAGAGGCCTTTCTTGAAGGTCTCTGATGGCAAAATGGACACTGGGACAATGTAAGCATCAATCTGGACTTCACTTCTTGGCTGCAGAGGCCTTTCCGGAAGGACTGACAGCGAAATGAGGCCAGGGGCCACCGGATGTGTCAATCTGGAGCCTGTTTCTTGGCTACAGAAGGCCGAGGACAATGCCGAGGACAATGTGTGCAAGTGGCATCAAGTGGCTGCAGAAGAAGTGGGCCAGCAGCAGGCTCCTGCTGGACAGGGCTAATAAAAGATTAGATTAGATTAACAGAGTTGGAAGGGACCTTGTATGTCATCTAGTCCAACCCCCCACCTAAGCAGATGATCCTACACCATTTCTGACAAATGGCTCTTGAAAGCTTCCAGTGATCAACCTTCCACAAATTCCAAAAGCAAGCTGTTCTGTGGCAGCCCATCAAACATTGGAACACTGCTATCATGTCTTCCCTGGTCCTTCTCTTCACTAGACTAGCCATGTCCAGTTCTTGTAACCGTTTTTCATATGTTTTAGTCTCCAGTCTCCTCATCATCTGGTTGATCTTCTCTGCACTTTTTCTAGAGTCTTTTTTTATAGTGTGGTGACCAAAACTGGATGCAGTAGATTCCTCTCACAGTTACTGTTTAAAGCCTGGTTTCACCCATGTATATATGTACTTTTGTTTTTCTTGACTGTACATTTCTTTACATTGAATTTTATTTTGTTAGATAGGGCCCAGTGTTCAAGTCTATCAAGATCCATCAGAGCCATGGGTTGCTGACCTCTGTTCTAGGGTGTTAACTATTCCTGCCAGCTTAGTATCATCTGCAAATTTGGTAAGTTCCCCTTCTATTCTTTCATCTAAGTCGTTTATGAAGATATGGAAGAGTACTGGGCCTAAGATTGAACCATGTGGTACTCCACTGCTTAATTCCCTCCATGTAGATGTAGTTCCATTAAGGACCACTCTGGTTGATGTTTCAGCGCTATTGGATGTAAGGAGTGGGTCTTCGCACTCCCACACTGAGTTATTCTTGTTGGAGGGCTCTGAAAGGAACTAAAGCCACCCTGTAGGGATGGTGAACAAAAGAGGGACACCCTGCAGGTTGCAGAGATCAGCAACTCTCCTGCTGGACTCAGGGCTTCTTCCCTCTCCCACAATGAGAAGAGAGAGTCATCATGGCTGCCACAAAGCTGGGACAGCCGAGGCAACAAAGAAATTGGAAGCAGGGATAAACAAGTAGACATTAAGTACTGTAAAGTTAGGGAGGCTGTAAAGGAGAAACTGATAAGATTACAGCATTGCTCACAATGTCTACCCAACAATTTTGAAAAAGAACTAGGCTGGAGTCACATAAGCTGCTCAGCTAAAATGTTCTTGAGCTTTTTGGGGTTTGAACTGTGAATATAATTCAAAAGAGCTTTGCACAATGTGTGAGTCCAGCCAAATAGGACTATCATGTTTTCTTAAACTTACTTTATATATTTTCTTTAATTTTAATCTTCAAGCTTTTCCCATCTTTTTTTATATTTTTTCCAATACATTGCTTGATCTATTTCTTTAAATCCTTAATACATTATTATATATATCTTCATATTTATTATATTTTAACTTCTTATTGTGTCAGGTCTCCAATTTACTCATCTATTAATTCATCATTCCAGCAATTCACACATTGTCAACTTAGTAACAATAATAATAAGAAAAAGTAACAACAATAATACAACACTCCTATTTGCCAATTACAAGGTGCTATCCCTGTGGTTAAACATATCACATAATTGATCCCCCCTTAGATTCCCATAATTTAACTTTTTTAACACTTTAAAAAAGAAGAAAAAGACACAATAATAATTTTCTAATAGTTACTACATTACACATATCTCTTTTAAATCTGGGTCTGCAAGTTCCCTTTATATATGTTGTGACTTGGAGATTTGAACCTGCTCTGTC